CGCGCCCGCCCCCGCGCCCAGCGCCAGGCGGCGGCACAGCCCCGCCACCAGCGCCACCTGGCGGCTCTTGCGCCGGAAGAGGTCGGCGTCGCGCTTCCGCCGCGGCGCCCCCTCCGCCCCCGACGCAGCCCCTGCAATTTAGACCAAAACACTTGACACACGTTCCTCTACGTATGTCGACGCGCACAATCCAAATCGGAAGCCACAACTGTACCACCCTCCGGGTTTCATTTTAAATCGCGAATAAGCAGTGTGAAATTGTAGATGGTAAATTTGAGGGCGGTTGTTGGCAACTTTAAAAAGACCTGGAGGGCGGTGGCGCAATTGTGACTTCCGTGTCGGATTCAGCGCGTCGACATGCGGAGACATGTGTCAATCTTCGGGTGAGACAACTTTTTTGTATGTTTGCCTGGATTTTATTTCGATTTAAACACAGCTGCACTTCAATGTCACGAGCTGAACGGAGTGGGAGACACTCTCGTCCAATTGGGAGCTTCGTTAGGACTTCTTTTTTTGGTATTGGAGCTCTCGGTTGCATGTCATGGTACACCTCCGTTGAGCTCGTGACACTGACGAGCAGCTATTTTTAATTCCGAGTATAGTGATTCCGGGCTAGTCAGCTGCGAAAGTATTTAGTTCCGTAAGTATAGTGAATGTTTTTCGTTGGGTGGTGGTGGTGGCGGTGTTCCTCCCTTCATGGCGGGACCCGGCGCCGCACTACCGTCGGATAGCGGGGTTCTCCTCAACCAGGTATCTCCCACCAGCGGGGCACCGCCCCAGGCGGGACAAGCTCTAAGCTACAGGCAGGTCATCCATGTCTGGTATGTGTGGTAGTGTAGTGTGTGCGTAAATAGTGACGATCGGACGAGGAAGGGGGAGGGACGATCGGTCTATGGCCCATTTGTTAGAGTCCTACTACACTTACGGTATTAACGACAGCAATCGACGCGCCCGGAAGCAATAGTCAATCAATTTTTAAGCCACTGTCAAATTAAATTTTATTACGCAGGAATTTAAATTTAGAGGTTACTAAACCAGCTTTAAAACATCGATGTTAAAAAGCGTTGCTTGTGGTCGATATACAGCGCGCCAGGAAAGTCTCTCGGCAGTTGCACCTTGCTGGTGAGTGTCTGAGTCAGATATTATGTTGGTAGCACGAGCTGCAGCTTACAACAGAAGACAACATCTTGCGTTCTCGACACAATTATAATAGATGCTGAAAGTGTTGATCCCTTCACTTGCTTCCCAGAGATATGATAGCTACGAACGTAAATACACGTGTTACAAAGAGCCCGGCATTCGGCACAGTGCAGAGACACTTTCCTGGCATCAGTGCCGGCGCTAGGCGGAGGCGGAAGGGGCGATCGCCCTGGGCCTGCAAGTCAAGGAGCCCGATGACAGGACGGATGAGAGAAAAAGTATTAAAAAATTCAAAAAGAAATTAGAACAGGAGAAAATCGTTATACAAATTTTATAAGTCGCGGTGCAAAAGTCTGATATCTCATAAAATTTTAAATTAATATTTTACTTTAAATGTGATTATAGTTAATACTTGGGTATACATAGGTGCTTTAGAGTGCAATGGCAGGGAAGCGAATATCGCTAATGGGCGCACAAAATTAAACGGCTACTTGACCGCGCAGGGTTGGGAGACGTCTCTCCGGATATGGTGGGAGATAGGAGAACCCGTAAGATAGAACGGCTGATTTCCGATAGACTTGCGGATATAAAAAGGCAAGAGATCTGGGCAGCAACGGCTGAAAAACGTTCGCTGGTAGCTCAAATCCATGCGAGTCCATTATTGGGTTGCGAAAGTTACATACATACTCTCGGAAAGGACGCAAGAGGGGGATACGCTTGGTTCAGGGTCGGGGGGTGGATGCAGCGTAGACTAAAGGACGCAAGTGGTAATGGCATCTGTGTGCTTTGCGGTGTAGGGAAGACTGGATCCACAGCCTCTTAATTTGCTGTGCAACCGAAACATGGAGAAAAAAATGGACGGGAATGGGAAATTACTACTTCCTAAACAGGAACGTAACGCTCGCTCAAAATATTGACAAACGTGACACAAGATCTAAATTTATAAAAGAACTAGG